CCCATAATTCCAATTGTAATATTAACCAATTCAAATGTCAATAATAAGGCCGCAAATTACACAAACGGGAACATTTTTAGTGTTGTCAATTGTTAGTTTTTTCAATGAATGTTGAGATTTAGTTATATTGTCTGCGAGCTATTGTTTATTTAAATGTTATGTTCTAATATAAAAATTATAATAATTACAATAAGAAATTCATTTTAAAACATTTATATTTCTCCTTTTATCTTATATATTATAATTAAAAAATATGTTTTTGTACCTTTTTTTAAAATTAATAATAATAGTAATCATAATTATCCATGACCAAAATGTCTTGTATATCATTTCACAATGACTAATGAATATATTGTACTAGCAATATAAAGAAATATCAATAAATATGATCAATGTTAAATTCGGCTGAAATTCTTTATTATTTATAAAATTTAAGAATTATAACTTATTGAAATTTCGTTTTTTTACTAAAAACAAAAATAAAAAATGAAATGTTAAATGTTAAATTTTCAATTTACATCTAAACTTCAATGGAAGGCATATATTAATATAAAGTAAAGAATAAATATAACTAACTGAAAACCTTTTATTTAATGGTATTATAACTATTAATTCTATTTTGATTATTTTGAAGGCTTTAATAAATCAGAATACAATTCATTGAATGAACTTTCTTGTGAAAGGTTTTTAATTAAAGATTTTTACAATTCAACATGTCTTATACTATTTTGTATATTTCTATTCTCATAATAGGAATGGAATAGATTTCAATCGATTTGAGAATTAATTTATATCATGATTATTATTTCTCAAGATTCAATTCTAAGATTCAATTCTTGATCTTTAATTAATAGAATACTATAGCCATAGCATAATAGAATTTCTTAAATAATCATTAATTACACAAGTTATTTATATAATATATCTATAAATAATTAAGATTAATCACATGAAAAATACATCTGTTTATTATAATAATATTATTCTATTATTATTTTATCCTTATATACATCATGACTTCTATGATTTCTTAATTTTATCAAGTTTTATTAGGAAGAACTTTAGAAATATCTTTATATTATACAAAGTCAAAATATTAATTTGTAATCTTTAAAGACCAAAAATATTTGATAAAACTTGGTTTTTTTTTATTAAATTTACATGAATAAGGTTAAAATATGAAAAGATGATCATTATTTTTACAGACTTTTTTTAAAATTTTAGAATTGATATTGTGAAATTAATTTTTTATAAAATTAGTTTAATCAATCAGAATCTTCATTAGTTAACCAATAAAATTAAATTTCTATTATACTAATTACTATTGAATATAACAAACCTCCTATTCAGTAAAGCTTAATTCAATATAAGATGTATTTGTTTATTATATATATTAAAGTATATAGAGTCTACTAATAAAATTAAAGATATGTAATTATAATAGTAAAATCAATATAATAAAATAGATGTCCAGTATTGATTGTCTTTATTATAAGAAAATTTATTAATATTATCCCTTAAATTGTAGAGATTCACAAATAAATTTATCTGCTTATTTACTATAAATTCACTTCTGATTTACTTTTATGAAATATTAAAATTTAAAAAAATTTTTTTTAAATTAATTTTATAAATATATATTTTATTATATTAATTTTTATTTTTTAATTATATCGTAAATACATTTCACGATCATCATCTACTTCATCTGCTTGTAAAGAAGTAGGAATTTCAGACTCTTGAGATTCAATGACCAATGGCTCAAAAACATCATCATCAAAAGTAAAAATCTCATTTAAATTCACTTAAAATGCCTTATAATATACGGATTCGCACATTTGCTTGTAATGTACATTATGAATCAGTTTTGTGACATATTTTTTAATCATATTATCAATTTCTTGGAAAAAATTACTCACAATAAATGGCTGCAGATATACCATATTAGAAGCTTTCCAAATAGAATATTTATTGTTAATATTCTCAGTTTCAAGACGTTGTTCTATAATTTCTTGAACTTGAAATAGAGAAAATGAGGATTGTACTGCCTTCTGAATGAGTGAATTCTCTGATTCAACTCGCTGGGTTGATTGTGTGCCTGTTGTGAAGCGACATAAAGTAAAACACTTCACCCACATATGTTTTTTATCAAGTAATTGATCTGAAATATACTTTTTCCCTTTCGGATATTTATCAATAAGACCATGTGACCTTCTATTAAAATCCTCTTCCGTTAATGATTTCTGGATATATTTGAAGTCGGTAAGGAAATTTTGATATTGTGTATCAAGATACAAGCGAAGGTTTTTTGGGAGATTTTAATAAAGATGATAGAGACATAACATATGGTGAGATTGATTAAATACTATTGATAAAGCTGCAAGCATTGCCGGGTTTACATCAGTAACAAATATCTTTGGTTGTATATTTGTAGCTTCTAAACATGCTTGTAGTAACCAAATATATGATTCTTGTCGTTCGTCGGTAAGAAATGCTTGTGCTGCTAACCTACTTTTATTAAAGTTGTCAATTAATATAAACAAACTTAGAGGATAATTGTATTTATTTGTTCTAGTAATATTATTATGAATGATAATATCATTGAATCGAAGCCAACGTTCACGTTGTTGAGGAGACATCCAAAATAATCTGATTAACCGATTAGAAGTATCGTTGATCTAAAGTTTTACAAACCAAGAAGAATTTTCTGATTGTAACTGAAGTAACTTAGCCAATAATGACGAAGTATCTCCCGATTGAAGATTATGATCTCGTTTGATTTTTTAAATCGCATTACCAAGGTCTTGAGTTAAGAAGACCCGTTTTAGGTATTTTGGTTGTAAAAGATTCCAGATTGTACTAGCATTGCAGCGATCATTTACTACGTAAAATTCGATTTCTTTCATAATTTCAGAAGTAAATGATCTGTAAATAGGAGCAAATTTGAGAGTTTCTATGAAGATATCATGACAATGGGTATTTTTGAATAATGTGATTGTTACTAAAGATGAGTTTTTAGGACTCGTCATGTTAATTTGCCACTTGCAACCAATCTTTTTCAAACCCTTTTTTTTGAACTGCCAACAGCCAGATCGGAAAGTTTTTGTTTATAACGACCTTTTACATCACATTTGAAAACTCGTTTCTGAAAGGTTTTATCACTATGAACTTCAAATTTTGCTTTAAAAATTACGAAATGTTGCTGCAATGCATATTGTTCAATATAATGGTCAGCTATTTTAGGTGACGGAAAACTAACTCCAACTTCTAAATTAATTGATGTATTAATAATAGGAAGTTGTCTATTGTATTCAAGAAGTTCGATACCTAGCACATTATTGTGTATATTTACTAAAATACACTCATTTTCATCGTAATTTTTATCCACTTCCATTACTTGAGAAAAATATAAATGAAAACGTCAATTCAAAGTAGAACGAAAGAAAAAGAAAGGTAAAAAAATATGGAACATTAAAGAGGAACGTTAAAAATATAGAACGCTAAAGTATAAAAATGTGGGAAAAAATTTATTATACTATTAAAAGGTGGTGTTTCGTGTATTACGCGTTGTGTTATGTGTTTAATATATATTAGTAAATAAATTAAAAATTGAAATCACGTGATCCTAATCACATGATATAACTAATCACTTGATATGGGTGAGAAATCACCCAGGTGAGAAATAACTTTTTCCAATACTAAATACTAAATTCTAATTAATTAAAACTACGCAATTATGAAACTGTTACATAAAAATTGAATAATAAAATACTAATAAAAATCAGAAATTAAAAATAAAAATAATAAACAGTGTTACAAATGTGAAATTATAAAATTAAAAGATAAAAATCAAAATTATCACAAAGGTATAAAGGAGGATTGTGAAGAGAATATTTTCAAAGAAATATGTTAAAGACGAGCATAGGATATTGAGCTGTTTTAGAATTTTTAGTTCGATATATATAAAAAATTTTAATTAAGCCAGTCTGGTATTTTAGCTATTTATCATACTAATATTTTGATAACCTAACGCTATGATAACCTAGCATCTTGATATCCTAATATTGTAATAGTCTGATAAATAATCATTAAAAAAACTAATTATAATTATCAAAAATGATTTTTCAAGTAAAGTTATAAAGATTTTGGTCAGAATTACATTCAACTATAATAATACATTAGCCATAATATTCTTTAGAATACTACTTTCTTCTATATGTTGAATAATTTTATATTATAAAGCTTAGTAAGGTTATCATATACAATTATGAAGGAAATTCTAGTGTATTGATAAATTTCTCTGACATTCTAAATATCCTGATTCTATAATTATAAAATTGCTTGATTGTTAATTTTTATTTAAAGGTCATTATTTCTAATTGAATTAATTTAAAGGTTTTTTTAAAAATTAAATATATTAAAAAGTGAAAAATAAAAAAATTTTAATGTTAATGTTACAAAATATATATACTTACTTACCTGACGATTATATTTTATTTATATAGTTTAGATCAGATTTGATTTAGCTGAGATCTCATCTTTTATTCTTTAAAAAATTCTGATTTTCTATCCTATACTGTATTATGTTAATTAAAATTATAAAATATAATACAAAGAAAATTTTAATCAAATATTATATAATATAATTAATATAACTAAAAAACAGTAACCATTCTAGTTCAAATTATAATAAAACTTAATAATTTTTTAATTTTTTAATATTCAATTTTTATGAAATACACATGATCAACAACACAGAATTTTATTGATTAATCAATATGTAGAATAGAATAATATTATATTATTTGAATATAAAAATTGATTATTTTTATACTTTAGACAAATATTAATACATATTAAATTATTATATATTAGAGACCTATATAAGTCTAAATTTTGAAACCTGGTCTGACTTGAATTTTTAGCTAAGAATTAAAATGCTAACACAGTGCAGGTTAAATTGTATATTAAAATGTCAGCTCAATCTAATCTAAACTTAATTATAATAATTAGTGATACAGAATTTACAGCTAAATTCAAAAAGTTACAGGACGGATAATTATTTTGCAGATTGATGAAAAAAAACTCATTAAAACTTAGTATAAAATTTTTTGAAAAAAACATTATCGCTATGTTCAGATCATTTAAATATAGTGGCATAAATTTTTACCTATAAAAACTGTAGTTGACTTTTTCAAATCCTTATAAATATTCTCAAAAAATCTCAGCTATTCTGTGACTTATGAAATTAGCTGTAACAATTTAATTATTTTATTTTTATTTAATAAATTATAAAAATAACGATATGTATTTTTTTTTACAATTTTTTAACAAATTATTATGAATAAATAAACAAAAAAATTAATGAAGAGCACTATATAATACTAAAGTAATTAGTAACAATAAAATATTTTATTATACAATTAATAATAGTTAAATTTTAATTAAATAATGATTTTTGCCAAAATTATAAAAAAAATCCAAACTGGTAGTAATGTGTATTGGAAGCTTCCAATAAAATTTATTGGAATTGGAAGTTCTATTGGAAAAAATTGGAAGTATTGGAATATGCAAATCTTCCAATATCTTATGTATATTGAAAGCTTCCAATCAAATTTCTTGGATATTAGACATAGTAATTGGAAGCTTCCAATGGAAGCTTCTAATACTTCTAATACCAAAATTAGTAATTTCATTAATTTTATATATACAGTGGCTACCAAAAGAAACGCAAGTGTGATTGGTTACCTTTGAACTGCTATAACTCGTCAACCACAAATGCTAGAAACATGATCTTGTACTTGTTTTAAAGCCCAAATCTTGAAGGATATCCT